GCTACAAACACAAATCATGCAAAAGCAGCATACAGAATAAACCAAAGAAAAGACCTCCAATTTAAATTAAAGACCCCATAAAAAATGGTGACGGCGTAGTTTGATGTCAACTCTACGATGTAAAAGACATCCAAATATAATGATTTTTGCAAAAGTAAGTACATTTAAATAAATATTTGCACAGACCCATATCGTATATGGTAACCTCTAAAGCAGAAAACTTTTATATCAAATAAAATATCATATACATTTTTTACTTTATCTCAAATTAAGTTGACGATGGACCTTTTTTGTCTACTCCCAAAATATTACAGATAAATATATAACCCTGAAGAATGATATTTAATTTAATTCAAATCTTTTTTTATATATATTCACATTAAAACATTTAATACATATTTTAAGTTAAATTACAGTTCTAAAACATACAATTGTCAAATCATTTATTTTCTCTCAAAAAAGCTCCCATTTTGATTTCATGGAGTCTTTAACTGGTACATGGCAAACCAATGCCTTACACAACAATGGATTTCATAAAAACACAGATACCATTTACCAATTATAAGCCGAATTGGTATTTTTCTGCTGATGCTGTTTTGCAAGGTTACATCTCAAATCTATGAGAGAGAAATAAAAATTTGAATAAGAAATTCTCGCTAATTCTTGCTGCATCAAACTGAATATGTATATCATTCCATATCAGCGATGGGCCATCTGCTATCTCAATCCAGACAGAGTGGATTCAGTTACCATGCAAAGAGGTTCAGCCATGCACTGGGAGAAGTGTTTCTCTCTCACACACATACAGACACACAAAAGTCTCAAGTTGTCAGAGCTAATAGTGCAGAATTAGTGCTGGTTGGACTTCAGGAGAGCAAGTAGAAAACTAGGGGCCCGTTTTACTCAGTTCATCAAATGGCACATCTCTCCCCTCAGTCTAAAGAAAGTTGTTAACAAAATTTGGAAGGACAATTAAGGTCTAACTGAAACGAAAGAACAGGTCCTCTTATAAACAACAGAAAAAACAAGAATTATCAAAGAGATTCAGCCTTACCAGTCTCTGTTGCTCAAGCAGCTGGTCCGCTTCTTCCTTCTCTTTTTTGTACAGGATCTCCATTTCTGTAAGCCTGATATAATACAGTGCGAGACCACTGCATCAAAAAGCTGCTCTTTCTTACGCTCACTGCATTTCCTTTCCGCAACATAATCCTAAAAATCCTTCTTACAATAATCCAGTTCATATTTGCTCACATTCCATACCAAGAGCTTAAACTTCACAAAATGTAGATTTTGTCTTCGGTAGCTGCTGGGTGGCCCCAGCTATGGTTGGCTATCCAACCCTAAACTATGTATTAACTGGAATCCACACTTCCTTTGAAAGAATTTTGCGAGTTTGAATACAAGTTAAGCTCTACCGACAGCATATATATAGTATTATGTCAATTACCACAGAAAATAATTGA